TTAGAAACTTAAAAAGCGTATTTTATTTTCCATTGGCTTCATATTAGTTTTTCTTTGTCTTTTACACACACACACACACATATATATATATATATGAAAAAATATATTTATAACCTGACATAAGATTGATACTGTTTTGTGGAAATCTTCAATGACCTTTTAAATGGGTTCATCTAATATAATTATATTTTACATAGTCCTACATAACTACCATTTTGAGAGCTCTTTATTCTTTATCCAGGACCATAGAGCAACTTCTCTTGTCTTGTGGATTATGGTCTTTGTTATTTCCTATATGCTACATCTGGATGTATTAGAATATTTCAAGTTTGTATAACTGAAAAATATTTTACTTTTAGTTTTCAAAGGTATGTTTGCTAAGTATAAAATTCAGTGAGGACAAAAAAAATTCAATGAGGACAGATCTTTTTTTTTTCAGTTATTTGAATAAATAAGTTTGGTTTCTTACCCACTTGCTCTTTTTTTTTCTAATGTGAAATAAGATGCTATTTAATTTTGTTCTTCCATAGCATATATATATTTTTTTTCCTTAATTTTTATTTTATTTTTTATTTTTAGAGAAGGGTCTACAGGGTGTTCAGGGTCTTACTATTAGATCGGACTCATAGTGATCCATCTTTTTACAGCCTCCCAAAAGCTGGGATTACATGCACACACCACCATGCCCAGTCTCAATTACCCTCTCAGCATGCCCTGGGGGCAGGGCCAGCATGGCAGAGGGATTGAAGTGGCTGGCTCTTAATATTTTTTTCTATGTATATGCTTTTTTTTTTTTTGGCAGAACTGGGGATTGTGGGGCCGGGGAGATGGCTCAGTGGAATAAGCACTTCCCTGGCAAGCGCAAGGGCTTGAGTTCAATCCCTGGCTCCGCCAAAAAAAAAAAAAAAAAAAAGAACTGGGGATTGAACTCAGGCCCTTGAGCTTGCCAGGGAAGCACTTATTCCACTGAGCCATCTCCCTGGCCCCTGTATAAGCTTTAAAGATTTTTTTTCTTTACAATTAGTTTTGGACAATTTCATTTTTGTGTATCTTGGTATGATTTTATTCATATTTCTTGTGCAAAAGGTTCCTTTTTTTTGGAAATGTGGTGCTATAATTTTAACTAAATTCAGAAATTTTAAATCTTTAAATATTTATTGCCTACCCCATTCTACTTTGAGAATTCTAATGATATGAATATAGGTTTTTTGATTTTGGCACAGAGTGAACTACTATATGACTGATCTGTAAACTCTTCTTTATGTTTGTTTTAGACAATTTTTATTGTTATATTCACTTAAATTTGTAAATAATTTTTTTACAATGTGCAATCTATTATTAATCTTATGTTATGTATTAATTTCAGAATATACTGTGTCTACATCTTGTACTTTTCACATCTTAGTATTTGTCTACAATTTTTAATTTGCTATATAATTATTATTGATTTTCAATAAAGTTAATAATGAGTTAAAAAAAAACCAATTCTACCAATAACGAATGCTGACAAGGCTATGGGGAAAAAAGAAACCCTTCTCCACTGTTGGTGGGAGTGTAGGCTGTGTGAAACCATTGTGGAAATCAGAGTGGGGATTCCTCAAAAAACTAGGGTTGGAGGTCCCATTCAACCCAGCTATTCCACCTATAGGTATTGTCCCAGAAGAATTAAAAACAGTACCACAATGACATATGTGCACCTATGTTTATAGCAGGACAATTTTTAATAGCTAGATCTTGGAAAAAACCTAAATACCCATCAATCAAGGAATGGATAAAAAAGATGTGATCTTTATACACAATGGAGTACTACCCAGCCATAAAGAAGGATAAACTTGAGACTCTTATAGGTAAACGGATACAACTAGAGACCATACTCATAAGTGAAGAAAATCAGACCCGTATGTGTATACATCATATTGTCTTCCTGACATGAGAAACTGAAAGAGCAAATATGATCCAAATATACAACAGGTATTGTACATGGGAAGAAGTTTCAACAGGAAAGAGAAATTGGGATGAGGGAATATAGAAAAGAGGGAAGGGAAAGCAGAAAGAAAAAAAATATAAAAGACAGTCATACTACCAATTTCCCTTAGTTCATTGAAAAGAAAGGTTTGTGTTAATATTGTTTAGACATTTAAATTCTGACATCTTGTACTCTGAGTAACTAATTTAAAGATAAAAATATGCAATATATTAACCATTATTACCCTCCTATTGTTTTTTAACTTCTATTATTTTTTATTAATTTTATTGAGAAATGAATAGCAATGAGATAGTTTCAAAACATGTTAGGGCAGTTACAATAATTAATACATTGCATATTGTTGTCTTTGTAATGGCTCCTATTGTTTTAAAATTTTGTTTTCTCCTTAAAATAAAATAAAATAAATCATTCACACACATACACAATAAAAAACCACTCAGGATTCTTTTGAGACAGGATCTCACTATGTAGTTCAGGCTGTCCTTGAACTCACTGCCTCAGCTTCCTGAATGCCTGGATCACAGGCATATGTAATCTCACCCAGCAGGATTTTAATGTTAGAAAAGAAGGCTTTGTAAGTAGCCATTATGGCACTTTCTAGGCCTAACGTTAGGTGAACACATTTTCTTTCATTTATGAGTTTGTCCTGGTTTGTAGTTTGATAACTCAAGATCTGTTTCTTTCTGAGTATATGATTTTCTTTTTTTTCCATAATTTTATTGAGAAACAAATAGCAACGAGACAGTTTCAAACCAAATTGGTAGGACAGTTTCAATAATTAACACATTGCATACTCTCTTCCTAGTGGTTATTTGCTGTACAAGATGCAGACATGATATCCTATTTACAAACACTATTACAACAAATCCCTCTATTCATTAAGAGAATGTAACTATATATCCATCCTAACCATTTTGAATACACAGATACAAAATGGACATTCCTCTATATCCCCCCCTTTTTTTAGTTCCATCATTTGAATATTATAGGTGTGTGAACTCAGTAAAATATTCCAAAATAGTCCAGTAGTCCATAATAGTATTGGGTCTTCTGCTTGACTGGCAATGTCAGAAATTGTTGACTGAGTCCCCTACAGCTCAACATAACAGCATGGCTTTACTTCTTTTTTTTTTTCTTTTTAAATTTTTATTTATTTGTGTGTGTGTGTGTGTGTGTGTGTGTGTGTGTGTGTGGGGCCAGCTCAGCCCACCAGGGGGCGGGGCTGGCTGGCATGTGGTGCTGGGGATTGAACCGCGGTCCCTGTGCTTTGTTTAGCTTAGCTTGTTCTAAGTAGGTGCTTTAGACCACTGAGCCATCTCACCAGCCCCATGGCTTTACTTCTTATACTTCATTTTTATACTTTTCTGCTGCTGAGTATATGATTTTCAGAGTATGATTTTCAATATTAAGGACAATTCAACTTCATAATTGTATTTTTTAATGGTTAAAGCCTACCTTGGAAAAAGTTAACAGTGCAACAAGTTCTTAACATATTTCCTGTTTTGTTCCACTTCCCTGCCCCTCTCCTTTCTTCCCTGGCACACAGTGGTCCATATAACAAAATTCAAAATCATTTTTCTTCCTCTTCTTGCTGGGGTGAGGGAAGCTAGCAAAGAAACAAGACCAAGCTAAGCCCATGCCAATGAAAAGTTACTGAGATCAAGCATATTTATTTAAGCTCTGTTTCCATCTTTTCAAACATTACAGCCCAGTGACAATTACTGTTAAAATCAGCTGTGAAGTGTCTGTTACAGCAAAATGAGAGAGGAAAGGAAAAGAGAAGGGAGGAACCATCAGGTCATTTCACTGAAGAATTGTGTGCTTCAGCTGTGTATAGCAGCTTCGGTTACAGCTTGTGAGCATTTATGTTTTAATATTTTGCATTAATATTTTAGTTGATGTGTTGAATTCATATAAACTAAAAGTCCTCTATAATCAGATGAGATCGGGCGTGTTCAGGGTGGTATGGCTGTGGACAGTCCTCTATAATCAAGTGGATGAAGGGAGGCATCCTCTCTTTCCAGGGGTCTTGTTCCCTCCCTTGACAGCACCAGCAAGGGTTTTGAGATTGGTTCTTGGTTTTTTTGACCTAAATTTTGTATTTTATCAATTAAATTCTCATTCTCATTCCTCTCTCTCCTCCCTCTCTCTTCCCCTCCCTCCCTTCCCTTCTCTTCCCTCCCCTCCTCTTCTCTCCCCTCCCCACCCCTCCCCACCTCACCCTGCCCCTCCCCTTCCCTCCTCTCCCTCTCCCCTTCCCTCCTCTCCCCCTCCCCTTCGCTTCTCTCCCCTACCCTTCCCTCCTCTCCCTACCCTTTTTCCCTTCTCTTTGCTTCTTTTCCTTTCACCCTTCCTCCCTTCTTTCTTTTGTGCAGTGCTGAGGATCGAACCCAGGGCCTTTGCATGAAGTATATCCTCAGCCCATTTTTAAATTTTTTTTGAGACAGGATCTCACTAAGTTTCTCAGGCTGGACTTAAATTTGTGATCCTCTTGCCTCATGCCTGGGATTATGGGCATGTGCCACTATACCCAGCGCACCCACTCCTCTCTTCTAGTTCTTAATAAAATACAGACCAGGTCACTGTGAAGTGTAGCCATCCCATTGTGCTGGACACCAGATCTTATGCCTTCTACCTGTGCTTTGGTATCTCTTGTCAACCTCCTTTCTCACTCCTTTCCCCAACCTCTGGTAATCACTCTACATTCAGATCTGTGCTTTTTTAGCTTTCATATATGAGAAAGAGCGTGCAGTGTTTGTCTTTCTGTGCCTCTCCTCTAGTTCTAGTCATGTTGCTGCAAATGACAGGATTTCACTGTTTTGCGGCTGAGTAATATTCCATTGTGTGTTTGTATCACAGTCCTCAAGGGACTGCTCGGTTGGTCTCTGCTGAGTCTTAGTCATCTGAAAGAGCAGAAGGAATCATCTTGGGGCCTCTGTGTTTACTTTGCAACCTTGTGAATCCTTGACAGAGAAGAATGGAATGGCTAGGAAATTAGAAAATGTTTTACCAGTTTAAATTGTGATATAATTTATTATTAGTATGCCTGTGTTTGAATATAACTTTACTTTCCATAGTGTGTTCCCTGTAGACAAAGAAGAAAGTAGAAAAATGAGAAGAATGAAAAGTATTTATAATCCCCTGTCTTTGTATATCCATGTAGGGTCTCTTGCCATCAGAAATGCTTTTATGACATCAAAGAAATCTAGGGAAGCCAGGCACAGTGGTGCACACTTACAACCCCCACATGTCGGGGCTGAAGCAGGAAAATCACAAGTTTGAGTCCCACCTGGACAACTTAGTCTCAAAATAAAAAGGATTGACGATGCAGTGCTGATGCCCTGGCTGTGAGTGCCAGGCTGTGCCCAGATGTGGTGGGCCAGAGGGCACGATGGCTTCGTAGACAGGAGAAAGCTGGTGGTGGATGGATGGGAGTGAGGCAGAGTGACCGGAGGCCCAGCTTGACAGCCAGGACTGCTGGAAAGTGACTCAAGCACAAGCCGGGCTGTCAGAGGGAGATATCGCGGAGGTTTGCTGCTGGACAGCAGTGCAGATCTTCTGAGCCTTCCTGTGGTGGATTCAGCAAAGCCTGTCTCACAGGCGGGTGCTGTCCCCTCTGGGCCTTTGTGCAGTCCAAGTCTGCTCTGGTGTCTGCTCTCGGAGATCACATCGGCAGGTGCCCTGCTGTGAGGCTGGGAGGGCTCCTGTGGGGGGACTCAGACTCCAAACGTGCCGTGAGATGCGTGACTGATGCTGAAGACAGGTGGTTGGGAGCAGGTTAAAAGTCAAAGCCATGGCTGCTTCTCAAGCTATTTCTTTTGGTCACTGTGGACAGTGGCTGTGCCTAGGGTGGGCTCTTGCTGTGGCTCTGTGTGGTTTTTCTGTGGGAGGACTTTGGTTCATCTAAATGCAGTGGCATGATAGGCCTTGGCAGGACGTCATGTTCCACACAGCACTGTTTGTCCCTGTCACACAGGAGCATCGGCCACTCATTCCAGCTGTAAATCAGTCTGGACTGTCCCAGGTAGTTCTGAGCACATCTTGTCCTACTCCCACTGGCTGCAGTGGACAGGAAAGTACAGGGAAGATGAGGTTAGAAGCTGTGCCAGGGCCAGCTGGGAAGGAGAGTGATTTTGTATTCCCAGATGGTGTGCTTAGGATACTAGGCAAACAGAACACTACACAATCATTAATATATGTGCTGCCGAATTGAGAACACTACGCAGTCATAAAATGATGATAAAATATAAGCTGGTGAGGTAGCTCAGTGGACTAAAGCTCCTGCTTAGGCAAGCTTAGGCAAGCGCAGGGATTGCAGTTCGATACCCAGCACCACCTGCTGCACCAGCTCTGCCCCCAAGACAGGCTGAGCCAGCCAGAGCCAGGTGTGGTGGTGTGCCTGTAATTCCAGAGCTGGGGAGGCTGAAAGCAGGAGGATCACTATGAGTCTGGGCTGTGTAGTGAGACCCTGTAGCAATCAAATACATTTTTAAAAATGATGATAAAATATAAAAATACAGTCAGTGTTTTATAGCTGTGGCAAAGGCAATGAAAAGGAACTGTCTCTCCTGATGGATGACCTCCAGGAGGGCTGAGGGGCTCTTGTTATTTGCCAATATCTGCATTCTTGAGGCTAGTTAAGCCTCTGTGTTGTATTCAATATCACAGAACAGATGTGTGGGTGCAAATGGGTGGGAACCAGGTCTTCCTCTCTGGGAGGAGGTGACCACTCCAAGGGGGAATTACGGCAATTTCTACACAGCCCGGCAGATTCCCTTTTTACGTGTCTCTGCCTTACTTTTTATCAGGGAGTATAAAACTGTAAATGTCTGTCAGGCCCCAGAATGAGAGAATCAGATCATTTGCCAAAAAGATTAAGGGGAAATAATGGCTGGGCTCTTCTGAGCCGCCTCCTCTTCCTGTTCTTCCTCCTCCTCCTCCTCTTCCTCTTTTTCCTCTTCCTCCTCCTTTGATTCACTTTCTCCATTCTTTTTTGACCCCAAGGTTAGGGCTGAACACATTGCTTGCCATCCTGGGCAAACCTGCCCTTGAAGCATAATCCCCTTTTGCTGTCCTACCTGTGAGTTCTAACCCAGGGATGATCTCAAAAGAGACAAACAATAAAGAGAGAAACCTGAAATATCTCAGGAGCTTGGCTCCTGGGAGCTCATCGATAGTGAAAGAAAGATAGCTTATCAGGTTGAGACTCACTCTCAGTGTACAACATACACCAAGATTTTGTGTCAGGTTCCGTGAGGTGGGAGCTGGGTATGGGGTAGTGAATGCTGGGAGGTTGCTTCCTTTGACTGGAAGTCAGTGGGGTGATTCCTGCCTCCTTCCACTGACTTGTCTGTCACTAGCGCAGCCAGATCTGCTAGGTTCTTGCCCTTCCTTTGCCGTTCTCCACCCAGTTTACCTGGGGCCACCTGGGCCAGGAATCCGAGGACTGCAAAGACCAGGAGCAGAGACTTCATGGCTGAAAGGGTGGCCTGCAAGTAGGTGGCAGTTTAGTGGTACCAGGGCCCTCTGTGTAATGTACCTGGAGCTACTACCTTTATAAGATACCGTGATACCAGGGTTCTGGGCAGTGGACCAAGAGAGAGATCTTTATCCCTTGGGACAGCCAAATCAGATCAGAGTGTCTTTTGGGCGGAGCATGGTTTGATTTGTGGAGCACCTGTGTCCTGGGCTGCTCCGGGACAGAGCAGAGGGGCTCAGTTCCCGGAACCTGTCCTTGACTCCAGGCTTTCAAGATGGAGTGTGTGGGAAAGTTGTGCTCTCCGGTGTTGCTGTTGCCCACGTTGTCAGTACACACAGCTTTTCTTTTGGAGAGTGATTTGGCAGAAACTGATTCTTGGACTGTTGTCTACAGAGGACCCTCGAGGGGTTTAGCATTGTTTCCAATAGCAGAAAACAAAAACCAGGCTAAATGGTGATAAAACATAGATGTACCCAAATATAGAAAATGGAGGCTATGCCAGGACATTATGTAGTCATTAAAATAATGACAGCTCAAGGCCAGCGTGAACTACATAGTGAGGCCCTGTCTGGGGAAAAAAAAAAAAAAAAATCAAACCAAGCAAGGACAATAACAAAAACCAAAAATAAAGACTACAGGGTCTGGGGATTTAGCTCAGCAGCAGAATGCTAGCCTAGCAAACTGGAAGCCCTGGTTTCAGTCCCTGGCATCAAAGACCAAAAATAAACTTCATCCAGAAATATAGGTTATAAGAGATATGCCTAGTATGACTTAATCTTTTAAAAAACATGTTTATGTGCCTACATACATAAGTATATGTCAATCTGTCTATATAAAATATTTGAGTTTTGGGGGGAGATTATGTGTACTTTCATGATTAGAAAAAGAGAAGGTATTTTCATAGAAAACATCTTGTTTGAATTTTTAGTATTGCCCCAAACGCTTGCCTTCTTCCCTTTCTGTTTAGAGTGTTTGGCAGATGGGGAGTTTGCTTTCCTCTCCTGTCACATTTTTTCTTCTCCAGAGGCTGCTTTGGAGCCTGATTTTCCTGGGTCCCCGCCCCACGCAGTACCTGCTGTGGAAGGGAGAGGTCCTGTCTGGGCTGCCTGAGAACAACAGCACTAGCATCTCCCTTTCCTGGGCCCCAAACACTTAGGACTGGGCAAGAACGTGTCCCAATCCTCTAGGAGTCACTCAGATTTGTAAATATCTCTTAGATTTGGTAACATCTTTAATTAGATATTATACATTGCAATCTTAAAATACCTGAAATCCCTGATGTTCTTGGTAGCCCTATAACCCCAGAGCCAAACCCTTGGCTTCTGGGCATGCTTTCCCACAGGGCTGGTGGCCTCTTACCCCTTAGTTGGTAAGCAGCAATGACACTCAATTTTTTTCTGGTTTCCATTTAGTGTGGATCTCAACATTAATTTGAACAAGCCCAATGTTTCCAACCCACTGGAACATCTTTTCATTTGAAATAATTTACAAGTTACACCTAAGTTGCAAAGCACCATTGTACAGTCCCCTTCTGCCAGCTATATCAGGAAGCTTTCCTGTTGCTGGACACAAAACCTGATGCTTGAAAGGAGAGATTTATTGGCTCATGGGTTCAGAGTTTTGGCAGCTCCAGTGCAAGAACATCTAGGCAAAAGGACCTGGTGGAATAAAGCTGCCACGTGGGTCCCTCCACCCCGCAGCATGCTCAGCTCACATGACGCAATTAACCCTAACTGTTGCCCTGGCTTCCCCAGGATTCACCTATTGTTAACATTTTACTTCTTTGTTTTCTCATTTACTCTTCCTTCGCAGTCTCTCCTAGATATTCACATGCCTATTGATCACTGAATATCTTTTTTTTTTTTTTTTTTTTCCGGAACCGGGGATTGAACTCAGGCCCTTGCGCTTGCTGGGGAACTGCTTATTCCACTGAGCCATCTCCCCGGCCCCATCACTGAATATCTTTATACGCTTTTCTCCTCTGGACCAGTTGAACACATATTCATTGTGGTCTTTTACCCCTAAAAAATGCTGTATGGATCGCTTAAGAATTCTTATTAAGAATAGGAATAGTCCCTTATATAGTGACACTATTGTTACCCATTGCATAGGTAACATTTTGGGCAAGCTTCATGACTGAAGTCTAGCTGGTTGGGAGCTGAATGGCTTCCAAACCTCTCCCTTATCATTCTCTTCTGTGCTTGGAGCATGCTGGGTTCCTCCAGGTTATTGAAGGCAGGAAGGAGAGAGAAAGCAGAAGCCAGAGGCAAGAACTTCATGCCTGAGGGACGGGACATGCCCCAGGGCATGCAGTGGGCTGGAGGAGGCAGAGCTACCTATTATGTACCTTGCCTGGAGCTCTAACCTTTATTGGGCTTCAAGTAAGATCAAAAGTTGGGTAATGAGGTGTGAGTAAAATACAGATCTCTGGGATGAAGAATTTGGACAGAGTATCTGAGTATCTAGTTGGTTACTGCAGAAAAGGGGCACTCACAGGCTACCCTGAGCACCGACTCCAAATACATTTTCTGGAGGTTGATGGAAAGAGTGAGGCAAAATGAGTAATTCCGTCCCATTCCTGTGAATTTACATGGAGAGAGAACATAGTTTGGAAAGCAATTGTCAATATATATTCCATGCTTGAAAGAAAATCAAACAAACTATGCTTACTTCTTGACTCAGAAAACACTCATAGAATAACATAAATTCATGAGTGTGTATTACATTTCCTTCTTGGCATAACTCATAATGAGGTTATTGGAAAATTAATGCCTGTCAGCAGAGAATCTGCTAGTCTGTGGCACACAGATACTAGAATTTCACACGGTTTTAAATGGTGATAACTGAATTCTAAACTCATGGCAGAAAAGGCTGCCATTCAGTGAAAAGAAAAATTACAAGAAAATTTGTGTAGCATGAGTTAGTTTTTGTTTCATATATATCTACTTACACATCAATTATATATAAACTGAATGGATACACAAAAGTATCTTTTATCTCTCATAGTTTTATTTTTTTGGAATGTTATAAAATGACTTTGTGTAACCTCATAATCAGTAAGAGAATTACTTAAGGTACTTCCATATTAGCAATTTTTTTTTTTTTTTTTTTGGTGGTACCAGGGATTGAACTCAGGACCTTGCACTTGCCAGGCAAACACTTATTCTACTGAGCTATCTCCCCAGCTCCAGAAATATCCTTTTTGAAAGGTTTGAAGCATTTATATTCATACAGAAGCCCTTTGCTTTTTTTCTTGACTAACACAAGATTGAATGGTCAAATCACATTCAGAGGCCTTTCAACTAACATTAAACTTTAGTAATGCAGGGTACAAGGTCATTCAAGGACACAGGTGAAGCTCAGCTTCTGGAGTCTGGTGTGACCACAGCCCTTCCAAGACGCCTTTTGCTTCAGTAGCCACGGAGCACAGCTAATCTCCCAGATCTCTAAGTGGTATCTAAGTGATTCATGGGAGAGCAACACTTATACGAGGGGTGATTTCAGGTCACACATCTCTGTTTATTCACTGGTATACTTGCATAACATGATAAATTTATGGCATTTTCCAAGGAGCTGTGCCCTCCATATCCATTGCTTCCAGGTGGGTGGCAGGCACATAGTGTTTTTTGTTTTTTTAAAAATGTATTTAGTACAGGGTGTATAGGGTCACACTACACAGATTGGACTCATAGTAATCCTCCTGCTTTCAGCCTCCCAAGCGCTGGGATTACAGGTGTGTGCCACCACGCCCAGTCTCAATCGCTGTTTTAACGCACCCCGGGGGTGGGGCAGGCATGGTATGCCAAGGATTGAACTCCCTGTGTCTGCCTAAGCAGGCACTTTAATCCATTGAGCTATGTGGCCGGCCAGGTACATTGTTAGAGTCTTTGACTAAATGGGCTGCAGGATACCTTACCAATTTTGTTGTTTCCACAAAGCCTGAAATAAAGTGATATTATACAAGGGGGGGAAAAAAAGATTTTTTTGGTAGTGGCTATCATCTATATGTTCACCAGGAGGTCTGCTCTCAGCTTGTTTATAAGGGGATCACATGTGGTCAAATTTCTTTTATTTTCTTTCCTTCAAGGAAGCATCCTACTAAAAGGATTTGCTTTCAGGATTGCTGCTAACCCTTTATTTCCCCTAAGATGAATGCACCAAGAGGTATTATTCTTGAATTTATGGCTGGAATGCATATATATATATATGCATATTTCCAAGAAATAAAATTTCTTAGGATTTTTTTGTACAATATTTTCATTATCATGGTTCTTGTTCTGTGCTTGAATTCCATGTGTCCTAAATTTCATTTACAGTGTGATAGTGTAGCAGATTTCTTTTCTTTTTTTAAAAAAATTTATTTATTTATGTGTGTGTGGCCAGCTCAGCCCACCAGGGGGCAGGGCTGGCTGGCATGTGGTGCTGGGGGATTGAACCGCAGTCCCTGTGCTTTAGCTAAAGCTTGTTCTAAATAGGTGCTTTAGACCACTGGGCCATCTCACCAGCCTCAGCCTAGCAGATTTCTAACTGATGGTCAACTTCTCATACCCAGCTGACTTAAACTAGCATAGTGCTGGGTGCGGGAGCTCCCCTGAATTAAACTAAATTGTTGCCAGGAGAAAGTGCTGAAAGCACTGGGAGGGATGCTGTGATGGCATGTGCCTTTAATCTCAGCATTCTGGGAAGCTGAGGCAGGAAGATTTAAAGTTTGAGCTCAGGGCTGGGGAGATAGCACAGAGGTCTAAGTGCCTGCTTGGCAAGCGCAAGGCCTGAAGTTTGATCCCTGTACCACATGCTGTGCCAACCCCAAACTGGGCCTGCTGGTGCATGCCTGTAATCCCAGTGCTGGGGAGGCTGAGACAGGAGAATCACTGTGAGTCTGAACTGTGTAGTGAGACCCTATATCAAATACATACATTAATTTTTTTTTTTTTTTTAAAGAAAGTTTGAGCTCAGCATGGGCAATTTAGTGGCTTAGTGAGGTCCTATTTAAGAAAAAACAAAATACAGGGGGAAAAGAGAGAGACATGGAGAAAAGAGAAGAGAAGAGCAGAAAAGAAGGAGAAAGGCAGGAGATATAGCTCAGAGAAAAGGGCGTGGGTTCAGTCTCCCAAGTGGGAAGATGCAAGGTTGTAGTTTCAAGGCCTGTGGCTTAAGCCCTTAATACTGAAAAAGGGCTCCTATAAGTCATGGCTAATATTGCTGCTTCTCGATATCTTCCTCTAGCTTGCCAAGTTTTTCTTTAGTACTCTTTGGCACTGTCGTGGCACGCATACTAACTCGGTGAGCTACCTCTGAATGGAGCTGCCATTTATTGATATTGTTCGCCAGAATCAATTTTCAATTCCTAGGTTCCCAAGAGTTAGAATTCATGAGTGACAAGATCTGGGCACGTGGACCTCAGAGTTATGAGGTTGGTTCACAGCTGCATGGGCTTTCCTGGAGCCAAGGCGATGTGGCTGCTGGCATCACGAGGCATGACTGTGTGCTCATTTGCAGTCTGGGAGGGAGGACACAGGCCCCAAAGCACAAGGAATTCTGTGTCCTTTGTTCAGACCCACTCAAAAGTGAAAGCCAAAAACAAGAAAAAGAGGTAACATTATCACTGGTAACTATCCATAGAGTTCTTAAGCAATTCTTTTTTTTTTTTTTTTTTTTTTTTTTTTTTTTGTGGTACCAGGGATCGAACTCAGGACCTTGCACTTGCCAGGTAGGTGCTTAAGCCCCTGAGCTATCTTCCTGGCTCAGTTCTGAAGCAATTTTTAATCATTTTTTTCTACCCAGTAGAGATGCAGTACATCATTGTCTTTATCTGTTTCATGTTTTCTATGTAATTTGGATCCATAGAAAGTTGGTAATTTCCTTCTTCCTCTCCTCTTTGCTCCCCCTGCCACCTCTGTGTCTTGCTGCAGACTGAGCCCAGGGTTTGCACATGTTGAACAAGTGCCTTACCAGTGCTTTATCCTGAACCCCACACATCTACCCAAGATGTGAACACATCTTTGGCGGGGCTATCACAACTGGGTATGCCGCCCTGCTGTCAGCAACTTAGCTGTGTTCATTATCAGGTGCCCTGTTTGGTATCTTAATGCTTGTGTTCAAGTAACTCTTGTTTATTTAATAATGGCCTGAACCTGCAAGAGTAGTATATGTCAGCTTTTTGCCTTTATAATAAAATAACACAGACAGGATTGCTATGAAAAAGAGCTTTATTTAGCTCATAGTTTTGGAGGCTCAAGAAGCTTTGGCAGGCTCAGTCAGGGTGCCCCTGGCAGCATCACCTCACAGAATACACAGATGGTGGCAGTGGGGATGGGACTGGGAGCAGGCTAGAACCTGGACACCTGGCACGGTGGTGGTCACGTGTAAATCGCATAGCTACAGTGTGAAGGTTAAAAGGCAAAACTATCATTATTAACAAGAACTGCGATAATTTGGTAAAGGCTATGCAGTATAAAAAGATGCAAATGATGGCATGAAAAGTCCAAACATGGGAGCGGGTAGGTGGAGAGCGGTGTGAAGTCTTCTGCTTTGGTTTTTCAACCACAGCTAAGTTGTTACCAGCTTAAAATAATCTGTTTTAGGTGTAAAGTGTTTATTTGTAAATTTTTGTTTTGGTACTGGGAGTCAAACGCAGGGCCCTGTGCTTACCAGGCAGGTGCTATACAAGTAAGCTATATGCCTGGCCCCTTACTTGTAAATTTTTAAAAGTTTAAATTTTTTTATTGATATTTGCTATATATAATGACCAGATTGATTATATGAAATTTGTACCTGTATGTGTCATATCTTAATTCCTTTTTCCCCATTCCTCTTCCCTCCCTTCAATCCTTTTTCCTCTTCTTGTTTACAAAAGCTTTTATTCTATTTTTCCTGTGTTTTTTTTTTTTTTTTTTGTGGTACTGGGGATTGAACTCAGGACCCTGTGCTTGCCAGAGAAGCGCTTATTCTACTGAGCTAACTCCCCGGCCCCACAAGCTCTTCCTCTGCTGAGCTATTTTCCCAGTCCATTTTTCCTGTTTTAAAATTCTTTTTTTAAAAAAAAATATATTTGGGGGCCGGGGAGATGGCTCAGTGGAATAAGTGCTTACCTGCCAAGTGCAAGGGCCTGAGTTCAATCCCCGGTTCCGAAAAAAAAAAAAAAAAATTTGGTTGTTACAGGCTGTCACTATGCATCTTGGACTCATAGGGATCCTCCTGTCTTCAGCCTCCCCCGCGCTGGGATTACAGGCATGAACCACCATGCCCAGACTCTGGCCAGTTCAGCCCGCCACAGAGTGGGGGTGGGGCTGGAGCAGCATGTGATGTCGGAACCGAACCATGATCCCTGCGCTTGCCTAAGTTCACCTAAGCAGGTGCTTTAGTTCACTGAGCTATCCTCACTGGCCCATTTTCCCCTTCTATTCCCTTTCTTTTTGAAATTCTTTTCCCTTCCTTCCTTTCCCTTCCCCTCTCCTTTGTTTTTCTTTCCATTTGAATAAGTTCTTCCTGCTTTCCAGTCTTTACCCTCCACTCTCCTCATCTGCCCTTTGGCTTTCTTGAACAAGAGAAACAATGTGTTCTAAGTCACTGTCCCCAGTCCTCATGTCTTCCAGCCTGCACACTTACAATCACACCCTTCTCCAGCTCTGCCTACTCAGTCTCCTGTGACAATGATAATGCCTCATAAACCATAGGTGCTTAAACAATATTTATTGAATAGCTGCTGACAGAAGCAATGATTATATGTTGATATTATAGAAGGTGGAAATGGAGAAAAACTCGATTTCAGAGAAAGAGCCTCATGACTACTCATTGGCTTCCTCCAGTTCCACTGGTGACACTGGTGGTCTCTACGGTGGTGATGGTGGTGTCATGGAGATGTTGACAGCACCTCCACTTTGCTTGGTATCACTTTTGGTAAAAGTGGCAGTATAGATGGTCTGTTCTGGGCCCTGGTTTCTGATGGTGACAGCATTCACAGGGGCATCCTCGGAGATGATGTCAGAGTTGACACTGGGAAAATGGCCAGAACTTACAGTGACAACAGGTAAAATCTGGTTTCTTCCCAGCACAGCACTAAAATCCTTGTCTCTTAGCATGTCTATCACGTCGTCAGTAGGTACATGGGGTATCTGCTTTTTCAGGTAGGTGTCTATGAGCCGGATCGCCTTTGGCCCAATGCAGCACTTTTTCTTCTTGCATATTTGTACTTCTTTTTCATCTGCATCGCATTTATTCTTGCATTTCCCAAAACCACTTAAACATCTTTTCGCTACTAAAAATTCTGCATGAGAAAGAGAAAAAAATAACATTGGGGCAAAGTTACAAATAGAGTTGATGCTAAAACTGCTGGAAAGAGATGGGTAGAGTCAGAGAATTTGTTAACTTGAAGTGTAGTGTTAAGGGCTGTCAGGGTAAGTGACTGGGCAGGCCTAGTGAGTCTCTGTACATCTTTGGTTATACAACCTTTTGTTTTTTATTTCTCTGCCTTGAGTAATTTTAAAGTCTAAGGAGACAAAAAGGAAAGGATGAACAGAGAATCCAAGTGTTTGCTTTTAGGGTAGTATTTTTTGTCCTCCACCTTAGCGCCTTTGACCCTCTCAGAGTGTCTGTCCCATCCCTGTGATCTGAGGAAATAGCAGCGAGAGTAAAGTCTGCCATAAAATTAATCTGAGGAAGAATTAACATTTTTACTAACACATTAATTGTGTAAATTAATAGGGGCCAAGGTGATATTTTAATACGTACATATAGCGCTGACCAAATTTAGACTTTCTTCGTCCACCCACTCTGCCTTCCTAATCTTTAGGAATCACTATCCTATCTTCAGGTTGGCTTTATTTTATTTGAAAAAAATTCTACATATGAGAAAGAGAGTGTTTGTCTTTCTCTGCTGCCATAAAGAAAGAAATCCTATGTTTGGCAGTAAAATGGATGGGAACTGGTAAATGAAATAAACCAAGAAAGAATTTTTAAAGATAATCAGCAGAGTTTTTAGAAATGTTATCTTTGGGCAGGGGAACTGTAGTTCAACAGCACAGCATCTGCCTGGCAAGTGCGAGGTCATGAGTTTGGTTCCTGGTGCAAAAAAAAAAAAAAAAAAAAAAAGACAAATGCTACTTTCTTTCCAAACCCAGTGTTCCTTGACCTTTTTGTCCTTGGCAGTCGCTGGACCTGTGGTTCGTAGGCATGGTGTTCTACCACTTTCAGCCTCTCCACACTCTTTTTCCCTGGGAGGTCTTGGTCATTATCAACAGCTTCGACCTCATCTCTGTCAAGATCACGCAGGGGTTATATATTGTTACCTATAGTTATAGTTTCTTTTTTTCTTTTTTTTGGCGGGGGCAGAACCGGGGATTGAACTCAGGCCCTTGCACTTATTCTACTGAGCTATCTCCCTGGCTCTGTTACCTATAGTTATAAAAGCCCCACTAAGCTTAGTAATTTATCTTTATCTGCTGGATTATTTTTTCTATCCAAACATCTCACCGTTTTTCCTGAGTCAAAATTTCTGTCTCTGTTTTAAGAAACAATTTTTCACAAATTGAAAGCGATTTGGGTAGCGTCACAATAATTTTCAAAGGCTATTCTCATCAAATGCACAGCAGCCAAGTGTGGGAAGCAGCTGCGTTAGTTAACACTATTGCACGCACATGGATTTTGAGGCTAAAAGGAGAGAAACAACTTTGCCTTTTCTGCCTATTGTATGATCCTTCTAGGGTCCCAAGATAAAAACAACGGGAACATCTCTGATGCTCTTATTTTCCTTCCCTGGCTCACCACTAACTATGGCAAGTATCTGGGCAATACTGTACTATGAAACAAGTCTCCACACTTCTCCCTTCCTCCTGGAAGATAAAGGCTGTTCTTCTGGGTCAGTGTTTCGTCATATGCATTCTTGATGTCCCTATGGTAGTTCGGGGGTTTCCAGGAAGACCGATGCTGGACGAAGGGATAAGATTAAAAATCTGAAAGCTTAAAATGAGAAGAGGGGCTGGGGAGATGGCTCAGTGGAATAAGTGCTTCCCTGGCAAGCACAAGGGCCTGAGTTCAATCCCCGGTTCCGGAAAAAAAAAAAAAAAAAAGTCGATTTAAAATGAGAAGATAGACCTGGTTACTAAATGTTAAGAGGATTTTTTTTTTTTTTTTTGAGCATAAAGGTAAGGACTTCCGCTTTCCTGTATCAAGGTGCAAACTGACTAGGATCTTTGCTTTAAGCAATATTTCACATTAGCAATAGAGCTGAAGGGCTGGGGATATAGCTCAGCACATAAGCACCTGCCTGGCAAGTGTAAAGTCTGGAGTTCAATCCTCAGTATCAGGAAAAAAAAAAAAAAAAAAAGAAAGAAAAGAAAGAAATAGAGGTGAAATATGGTAGACCTGGGCTAGGTCTCAAGGTGATATATATATATATAGCATAGGAAGGCAGCCTCATACCTTGTCTAGTTCCTGAGTATACCACAACCTCCTCTGCTTCCACTACAGCTCCCTGAGCGCCTCCGACAAACATGCTGCAGGGATTGAGTCCAAAGGGGATGCACCGGGATGGTGCATGACAGAAGTCAGGCCTTCAGCCATCTCTTTGAGTATCTCATCACTAGTATCTCTTCGTATTCCTGTCTTTCTGAGCATCCAAATCCCTGCCCCTTCATACTGACCCCTCTTAAACCCAGAGGACCACATTACCTGTATTCACCTGGTACTGTAGCACAAGGCTGGCAAAGATAGGAAATAGGACATGCATGGTTGGGGACCAGAGAGGAAGCCCTGGATCTGGATGGTGTTCCTGAGCTCCAGCCTTTATTGGCCTGCTCATGGCCTAAGGCCATGAGTAGTGACGTGCAGCCCGGGCAGGCCTGTATACCAGGCAGGCCT